TCGGACCACGTGTTCTCAGGCTTTCCGCAAATGGACAGGATCTCCGATCGCGGCTCATGAACTGGCCTAACGTCTGCTGTTTTCGGTGAGGCACTTTTCACAGAGTGGAAGCAGTAACAGCTTGTCTGCAGGCAGGAATACCCCTTACTCGCCATGATAAGCTTCCAGCATCCCAAAGATCACCAGCAATAATGGTTTTCACCTCTCACTACCTGGATAATCAGGGATTCAGGGGGGAAGATTTGATACACCCACTATTCTGCCACAGCTCTGAATCAATTTGCAATGGAGAGCAGCCACTGGAGAAGCGACCATGTCGTATAGTTGTAACAGGCAGTGGAGCTAGTGAGAGATATCACGGGAGCTTTAGAGGTAGATTGATTACTAGTCATGCATTCCCCTCTTGAAGTGTGACAATTTGCAGGCATTCTCCCATTTTGTCTCAAACCAAGAGTATTATAGTCCTTTCAAAAACGTTAAATCAGCATTATATTAAAGGTTGTTTTTGGAGCATTATGGTTAGCATTATACGAACGTTTTCGGAGCATTATCCGCTGGACCCTAGTCGGGATAGCCCTTTCCCAAAGATGCTCGCCACTTTTTCGCAACTTTTGGTTGTTTTGGAAGAGATCGCAACTTTCACAACTTTCTTCATTTTATTTATTTATTTATTTATTCCAAGCAATACATGGCTGGGGTAGCCAATGACCACTTTGCGTGGCGATTGCAGGGTTTTTATAGCCAACCACGGCTAACAAGGAAAAGACTAAGAAGTCAAAAAGAAAAGGAAAAGAAGAAAGAAGCAAATATGGACTAAAATTGTGGTCTACTGGTAAAGCAAGGCGTTCCTGAATGCTGTTAAAGTAGAAAGGCCCTTTGTCTCCTGGTGCAGCTTAAGCCAATGCAAATAGCCATTGAAAAGGGGGGAGTGTAGCAATGCAGAAGAGTGGGCTAGAGGAAGGGAGAGTAAATTCCTAGTTTAAGATGCGGGGGTATTTTGGAAAGTCGAATACGATGGATAAGACAGCACATCATGATTCGTCGTCTTTCTAGTTTTTTTTTCACGAACTACTTCGCAACTTTCCGCAATCGTGAGCAGAGAAGTGCCTTGGAGGAGACCATTCAAGTGTCCGTGATGCTCCGCTTCAACAAGAAGCGCTGAAAAATTCCATCAAATCATCATAAGAAGTGTACTTCTCGAAGAACATGACGTACATGACGTACACGTACAACAAAAGTCATGTACATACTCTAGTACTGTATGTACATACTCTAGTACTGTATGTACATACTCTAGTACTGTATGTACATACTCTAGTACTGTATGTGCATACTCTAGTACTGTATGTACATACTCTAGTACTGTATGTGCATTCATTGTTGGTTGACAGCATCCTTCATCTTTCTGTGAGAACCGAACCTATGGGACGGTGAGAAGGCAATCATACCTGTGCCATTGGTGAAGGAAAATAAAAGTCAACAACAACAACAACAACAACAACAACAACAACAACAACAGCCACTGGCTATCGTGAGAATAAAGATTTGAAACATGTTACAAGGCGGAGGACCACTGTGTGTTTGAAAACAGTGACCTTACTACAACCATCCACGGTTGGCGGAGCCCCAGTCTTGCGACCATTTGAACCGGCTCTGCCAACTTTGGATGGTTGTAGTAAGCACTGAGCAATGATGCTATAATAAATTTAATATTATGTACAAGAACTCGCTCGTTTTGAGTTGCGATATCAGCAACTTTCGAGCTTTTTCTGAAAATACGGATGCGTTTTCAGCAACTTTCGCTTGTTTTGGCATGGTTGCGAAAGGCATAAGTTGCGAAATATTTTGGCATCTTTGGGAAAGGGCTAGGTCGGGACGGTTGGACAGCCTGGTTCGGTGTTACATGTACATGTATAACTAATACTAGTACTTCAACTGTCTTCAAGGGTAAGTAGTCATCCTCCACACACACACACACACACACACACACACACACACACACACACACACACACACACACACACACACACACACACACACACACACACACACACACACACACACACACACACACACACACACACACAAGCTTTGCATGCATGCTGATGTACATGGTACATGTATTGTACCTTGTACATTATAATTATGCCATTGGCAAGGATGGACGTCACCAGGGCCCTGACCAGGTCAGTGTGGGTAGAGTCTATGCGTTCCCACTGCCAAAACGTTAAAAGTAACAGAAAAACCTTAGTCCTGATAACGAAAAAAATACTGGCATACTCTACTCGCCGCATAGTACCCTTGCAATACATAGACTTCTGTCTGTGGGGTAGGCATTTCCCAAATCGGACGGCCGAAAAATTCGCCGAACACAGTAATAATAATAATAATAATAATAATTAGGGCTGAAACGAATGTTCTATTTAACAAACGATCAACGTTCAAGAATTACTGCAATAGATCGACGCAAGAGCAGAGTGTGCACATGATTGTGTCAAAAACAAACGAATATTCTAAAGGGGAAAATATTCCTTCTATCGGGTTCCAAACGAATATCAATCGAATATTCGAGTATTCCTTGCAACCCTGATAATAATACCACAGCACACGTAATAATATAATTATGTGAGTATAATTATACGTTCCGCTTCTGTCCTATCTCCTATGATCAAATTCCATTATCAAGATAATTATTGATACGGTGCACTGATGACCTGTGACGCCAAATGGATTGTCGGCCAGATTTCTCCATGTAGGCTTGTCCAGAGCGATGGCACTCACATTCCCCAGCTGATTGCTGCGCTTCAAGTCGATGTTCCTTCTGAGGCTTCTCTGTAAGTCGCTTGTGATGCGCGTCGCAATGGATGTCCTTGGACGAACACAGTGGTTTTGAAGAATTCACCGATGTTGTCGCCGGATACGCAATTTTTTCACTGAATTCGCCGAAAATCGATGTTTTGGTGCCTCTACAGCATGCAAATGCAATTTCTGTTACCATTATACTGTGAGAGGTGACTGCAACTTTAGGCAATTCCGAAATCGGCCAGCAGGAAAGACGCCGAAATTAATGGCTGTGAAGAAATCGCCGATTATTTGCGCCGAATTCACAAATTTCGCACTAAATTCGCAGAAAATCGATGTCTAAGTGCCTCTACAGCGTGCAGATAATTTTTTTTAAATGTACATTATTGCGAGCCGTGACTTCAAGTACTGCTTTGAGCCGAATTCTGACTTTGGGGCTCATAATAAGGCCGAATTTGGACATTATCTCAGCCGATCGAAAAGCCGATTAGGCGAAAAAATCGGGCCGATTTGGGAAATGCCTAGTGTGGGGCTACATGACTGTCAGCACACTGGGTCATCAAAAATCCACCGGTATATTTTAGATTGAAATTTGCACCCTCCTGCGGAGCCCACGTTGCTTTGGCAGTGGCGGAGGCTCGCTTGCCGCGACGTAACCGTCGGAGACCATCATGAACAATGGACTGACTAAAAAATTATTCACTTGTCCTGTCTTTCTAAATAACATGTTATTGCACATGTTCTTGGTTTAGTTTTTGGCCTTTTTTCGTGCTTTCGAGTTACTTGTTGTATTTGGAGAGTTCATCTTTATGGTTAAAAAACCGGTATACCGGAGGATGCACCCAGTGTGCTGACAGTGCTCAACACCGCGGAGGCAGACTGAGCATAAACTTACACAGAACAACGAGGGCAATCAAGGCGTGTTTGTCGGAAAGCAATCATCACTGAGGACCCACCCTCTCCTGGCATATATACCGGCATGGCCAGTGCCATCCTCATGTTGCCTGATGATTGCGAAAGCATGAAAGTTTATGTAGCGACAAACAAGCCTTGATTAATAATGATTGCCCTTGTTGTTCTGTGTACCAAGAGTATTATTATAAGCTCCCAGTTTATTGTCATGCGGCTCTTGATAGTACTGTAAGCAGGGTAATGGCATTGGCAAGCCGCAACCCGTTTGGTGTACAGTACACTACCCAGATTTCGGATGGGATGGGCATGTCATGCCTTTGCCATTGCCATAACTGAACATCTCAACCTCGGCAAGGTTGACCTTTGCCTTTGGAAACCCAATCTTGACCAAGCGATACTACAGTTCCGAGTTCGAAGGTGATCCCTGAAGTTGAACTGCTGACAGCTGTCCATACTGCAGCAATACCAGTGCAGTACACAGGTACATGCAACAGTGGATGGGCACGTACACGTAGTGACCTACTCTATACTGGTATTAGCCGATTTGTAGGTTTACTCAGTTGTCTGGGAAGACTGTGACTCACCGCACACCCAGATCATAATTATGACTCTGTCAGCTAGGGCAGGCTGTCTGTCTCTCTGCCTTCTGCTCCTATGCCTGAAGGCCGGCCTCAGCATTTATACAAGACTGATATGAGCCTTCTCCAAATGGTGCCAGTTTTTTCAGTTCATGGCACTCGATGACCCTTCTGAATGATATTTCTCTCCTAAATGTTTGCCGCTCTGTATCAAAGCTCTCATTGTCCATCTCCGCGGACCGGACTCCACCTACCCCTCCCTCATTATCTAACATTTTTTGCTTCCCCTCGTGCTTCTTGGCACCTCCTTTCGCTTCCTTGTTATTGAGTACCTCTGCTCGTTTGGTCACTGCGAATTAAAATCAAATCACACAACAAACAAACTCAAACCTCATACGATCGGATCCGATATCCTCCATGCATGGCCGGCCATGCTCCACTTCCAAATTTATGTACACACTCGCACTCTCATGTCGTACTTTGTTGCTAGGCCTATAGGGAGTACTAGGGTAATTATTTTGCCCGTACAAGAAGAGGCTTCGTAGCTGGCAAAAAAAAAAAAAAAAAGTACTAGGGAGTACTAGGGTACTAGGGTACACGCTGTGCTTGCATGCATGCATGCATCGTACTCTTGCGCATGCTCACATAAAATCGTCCTGCGTGCTTTTTGAATTATTTCGGATCGGAGATACATGTATGTAGCAAGCTTGCAAGGGCACTTGTGCATAGTTTTGACGGCAGTACTTGTACCTCTAGCTCTACAGACCGGCTCAGTGCATGTATGCAGAGGACTCTGCGTAGGATCCGCTGCCGCATGCCGTGGAGTGTTTCGGTTTTTGATTTACTCTGACTGTGCTGCTGCGTGAACGGTTAGATTAGAATACGTAGAGCAATGACAACTAATGGTGCGCCTTCCGGTCAAATCTTTGCAGCAGAATGCCTCAAGAAGCGGCGAGTACACGAGAGCGTAAGTCTGATTTTTAACACTGCACTGTACCGGTAGGCTACTGTAGTAGGTAGTGGGACTGATTGCCATCTGTATTCTATTCCAATTATTATTTATTCCAATTATTATTTATTCCAATTCATTATAGTGCTAACCCTTTTCTTTGCACGGCGCATTTTTTGCCTCTTTGCTGGCGGCAGTACACTTTGGAATGCGATGTCTGGCAACAGGCAAAGCCAGGATAAAAATGTGCGCTTCTGCTAGCACCATTGCGGCAACCTCAATCGATTTGTGAAGCTCACCACTTGTGATATGAAGTCGGTGCGAATTTTTCTCAAGCTTTAGACCAGCTGTCGGGGACGTTCGACGTTATTGTCTTCAAGTCAAGTATTGCCGTGGATATGGCGGGACGACTAGTCTTCAGAACCTACGCATTCGACGGCTCACCCTCCAGCGCGACCATTTTTCTTTTGCTGGGGAAACTATAGGATTCGAAAGATTGCCTGTACGGAAGTATAGCGTGGCCACAAAGACATGGCAGCTTGAAACAAAGCGCTCCTGAAGTCTCGGAGTATGAGCACATGCTCAACTGTTACTCACTTCCCCTTTCCCGTCTCAGCCTAACTCTAAACTAGGCTTCCTAGATTCATGGTTAGCTATATTTGGTGCTCATGTCAACATCGATACTAGGCAGGGCCGATAACTCCACGATGAAGTTTCCCCTAGTCAAGTAAAAGTTGATTTGAAGGTTGCACACGGCCGGCCACAACGTAGCCTAAGTTTTAGAAGGCAGAGAGTTGGCCGTGCGAAGTAAAATAAAAATCAACAAGACTGAGTGGGTGTTGGAACAAGCTTTAGCAGGGAGTGCCCCAGACCAGGCTTGTCTAGGCTCCGTTCAGTGTCCCCCAGGGCCTCACTGCACTAGGTAATATTCGACACTCGACTTGGAGTTCAGCCTTTCAATTTGCTTACACTTGGAACAGACCGCTTGTTTGTGTCAGCAGCTGACAGCTTGCTCTGGTTCTGACCAAGTAAGTAAGTTTCGCAACGAAAATCGGTCAAGTTAGTTTGAAGCCGTATCACTGGAGGCTGGGGCGCATATGTCAGTGGGGTCCCGGCAGTCTGTGACTGATCACGATCAAGACATGAGATCTTGATGAGGTGCAGGCTGCAGCAGCCGCATAACACAGACACAGTAGGAGAGAGGTCTAGCTCGTAGCCGACCATCCGCAATGAAGTCACACTCTACATGACTGTACTTACATACAGTGTAGACTACCCTACGTGAATCATGAGTACTACATTTCGAGTCCAAACAAGGCACTGTCCTGATGTTACCGGATCAGATCAGTTGGAGATTGAGTCAAGCAGGGAACTGAGTGACATTGATACCACAAAGCCACCTAGTACTTGCAACTGTTGATGCAACTGTTGATGCAACTGTTACTTTCCTGGTATCCTACAGTTGTTGGTTAGTTACTCAGTTAGAGTAGGCAATGACAAATAGAAGCACAACAACAATTGAGCATACATCAGTTCGTATCACGGCGGTAATTTTATTTTTATTTTCATCACACTGCACATACCTACATGTATGGAAAGGGGAGAAACAAAACGAGAACAAAACGAAAGTACAACAATGGGTGTATTAAAATGAAAGAGAATCTTTTCCAGTGCATGTCTGGAGCACCTCCTGGAGTCTACGCGAATCATGGCCGTGCAGTCCTCAGATGGTAGGGCCGCAATCTATTTACCATGGATACAGATACTGAGTAGTTACTATGGATACAGATACTGCGGCGTTGGAAGGAGTTTCAAAGGGGGACGACGGACAGATTTCAGTGGGTTCAGGTTGGTTTGTCGGTTTTTATTTTACTTCGCACAATCAAACGGGATGACGACCCAATACATGATGGCGAAGGGTTGGCCTAGAAAAAGCTATGGAAGGGTTGGCCTAGAAACAGCTATGGAAGGGTTGACCTAGAAAAAGCTATGGAAGGGTTGGCATAGAAACAGCTATGGAAGGGTTGGCATAGAAAAAGCTATGGAAGGGTTGGCATAGAAAAAGCTATGGAAGGGTTGGCCTAGAAACAGCTATGGAAGGGTTGGCATAGAAACAGCTATGGAAGGGTTGGCATAGAAACAGCTATGGAAGGGTTGGCATAGAAACAGCTATGGAAGGGTTGGCATAGAAACAGCTATGGAAGCACATGATAGGATACTAGACGACATTCTCATCTGAAAATTCAGACGGAAGTTCAATTCGAGAACAGAATTGTGTCCATCTTTAGCGTCCTTTCTGTTTGAAGAGTTTATCCAGAGACCATCAAACATCAGGGAGTAGAGCAGCTCAGCTGGCGATAAGACAAAAAAATATTGCGAGGCGGTTCTATGGCTGGAGCCGTGGGCATGTGACAAAACAAGTCCATTTAATATTGGCAATATTGTACTGAACGGGGACTGAGATTGGACTTGCTTACAATATGGTGATTTTGAGAGTCACAGATCAAGATGTCTTGCTTTTCGAGAAAATAGTTATATAGAACTGGGCGTCCCGTTTCCTGCCGACTCCAGTCTAGAGAAACACAGCGGACCGGGACTGAAGTAGTGAGTGCATGCCCATGGGATATCATGCAATCATACGTTTTCCACCCCGGCTAAAAGCAAATCAGGTGGACCAGCGCAGGTGAAACGTATGAAGTCCCTGATCTCCCCTCTGGCAGCGACTTACGGCCTACTCTATGTTGTGTGTGCTGTTGTTGTGTATGCTGTTGTTGTGTGTGCTGTTGTTGTGTGTGCTGTTGTTGTGTGTTGTAGGGTGAGGTACAGTACCTTGTAAAATGGCGTGGATACCATGACAGGTGAGTGTGTTCACGGCATGATCAGGTTGTGCACAGTGGACCAGTGCTGCTCAATGAAATCCAACCATCGAGTGAATCAGCTTCGCACTCTGCACCAGTGGACATGCCAGTGTGGCAGGTCTAGCGCTGCATGGCGCCCGGCAGGTGCGTGCTCGACTCGCGCGGTTGGATTTCATTGAGCAGGACCGCGCTTGTACATGACAATATGCTGTAGACGAGAGACTGACTGGGGGCTACATGTAGACCCGGATCCATGTACAATCACAGGAACACCGTGCATGTACAATCCCGTACTGTACTTTGCGGGTACTAAAATTTGCTGCATGGCCACAATGTTTGGAAAGTTGTTATCTCGTTGAACATATTGACATATTGACCGTACCACTTTTTGTCCCAGACACCCCACAGAGCAATACAAAGCACTGATTTGGGCTCAAAATTTCGAAATGTTCGGTGTTAGACCCCCCCCCCCACACAAACACGAGTAACTTCCCCCCCCCCCCCACACACACAAACAAACACGAGTAACTCCCCCCCCCCCACACACACACACAAACAAACATGAGTAACTTGTACTTCAGATGGCTGACCGTACCTCCCTAAAATACCTTCCAATGCCTCTGTTGAAAGTGTTGAAGCGTTTGTAGTTGAACTGACAGGTTGCATCCCAAACTCAACACAAGCAGCCCGGCTTCATCTTCAATGCCGACAAGGGAGTCAAGGGAGTGTCCTCATGAGCCACATAGCGCACTGAAAACCATCATCCATTTTGTTGGCCAGGAACTCACAGGACACACAATGTCCCCGAGCTGTATCATTAGAGAGGTTCTGCAAAACGAAAATGCGAACGAAGTTTCGCGACAGTCCTTGCGAAAGTGTGTATGAATTTTGGCACGAACTTTGGGTTCTGCACATTTTCGTGGTTTGCATGGGCCAAGTGGACGTACGCCATGACCCGATCTCATGAAATTTCCTACCAAAGTTCATTTCGCGTTCCCTACAAGTTTCGCGTCCAAAGTTGTGAAAGTTGGTGCGAAGTTTCGCACTCCATGACGTAGAGCAAAGGTTTGTACGCATTTTCGTTTTGCAGAACCTCTCCAATGCTAGGAGCTAATTCTTGATTTCTGAGCATGACTTGTGCATGCACAGTGTGACTGGATGCAGAGAGGATTGAACATTATGAGTACCGTACTTTTCCGATTGTAAGTCGACCTTTTGCGACTAAAATAGGAGAAAGGGTGGGGGTCGACTTACAACCGGGATTCGACTTATAACCGGGAACTATCAGTATCTTAAAAAAGACCTGCACTGCATGCACGAGTGCACCATGTGTACACATTTTTGCCAGTTTATCGGCCTTTTTCAAGGATTGGGATGTTATACCGTCCAATAAGGAATGTTTACATGATTTGTTGATGTGTTAGTAGCAGAGAGTAGTTAGTAGTGCTTCGTTGGGTGATAACTTTAAAACGCAGAATTGAGACCTCCAGGTATGGGGTCGACCTATATCCGGGGTCGACTTACAACCGGTAAAATACGGCATATTTGCTGGTTTCTTCAGATTCAATACTTGGGAACCAGAAGGCAATATTCTCGATGAGAGGTTGTTTGCAGCATTTCACAGAAGTCAGTCGAACAAAGATGATCCCACCGGTACTAGAACAGCTGCAGCGGTAGCAGCAGCAACTCCAGCAATGGCAAGGAAGAAAACCAGCAAGGAAGAACGAATGGACCCAGCAGCATCACATGCATCATCCCTGCATAAACCAAGGTTAGCCGCTAGATCTGCATAAACCAAGGTTAGCCGCTAGATCTGGCCCAGTACACCGTACTGTACTAGATTGAGTTCTCACTACTACCTACTGTAGTCTACAAGTACAATAGTACAATAGTACAATAGTACAATAGTACAATAGTACAATAGTACAATAGTACAATAGTTGTATGCTGACTAGGACTCTGAGAAGTGAGCAGGGGAGTGGTATGTTGCAATTAATATGAGTCAGTTTAGGCTAGCCTGAGATCCTTCTGCTTGTAGAATCAGTCTCCTGATTTATAGTAAGACCTCCCTTTGCAGACACCTTTCAACCACACTGACACCTCCACATTCAGTGCGCAGTTGTTCAGTCCCAGTCATTCCCAATCAAGTTAGTTATTTGATGCACACGGCACACACACTCTTTATCAGGACACATTCCTATACGGAACATATTTTGTGAATCTAGTTTCTGCTGCGTCTGCAGTAGCGAGGTCAGACGCGTGACCAGTTCACGGACTTCGCTTGTCGCGCTTGGCCCATCCCCGGCCCATTGAAAATCGATGATGTAATGGCACATAGGTTTTTACTCGATTTTTCGATTTTTACGGGAGGCATCAAAACTGACCTGCGTTTGAACTTCGCTTGTGCAGTCTCCTTGCTCTTTTTGGGCGATTTCAAGTTTCTTGTCCTTTGGTAAGGATATGGAGCAATGCCTCCACCCGTTCGCGCGGCGTCCAGACGTTTCTCTGTCGACGCGCTGTCTCTCGCTTTTTGCCAATATTCGAGGGCGGGTTTCGGTCCTTGCGCCTCTTGTTACGCCTTAGGTTGTTGCTGCATCGTGTTCAGCGCCCCCTAATCCTTCGGACTACCAAGTTTCATTGGCGTAACAAGAGGCGCACCGACATTATGGCTCCCGACTGGTGTCACTGTCCAGCAAGGAGGATTGCTTTGGGAAGGCATGTGCACCAATCTAAAAAGCAACAGAAGCAAGCGAATCGCCATCAATCCGATTAAACTTCGCTTGCGTCTGGTGTGCAGCATTTTGTATCTATTCAGAAGCTTGTTGGTGATGAAGGCAAGGAGATGGCTACTTCAGTCCCGGTCCCAGGTACTGTTTCGGAAAGCTATGTCTTTCTTGCAAAGTTTTGTCCAATTGTATGCATCATTTCAGAAATGGAAACTATTTCCAAATTTCCAATGCTGTCAGTGTTACTCAATCAAGGCAACACTACAAATAGTTATCAGCCAAACATAACCTGTGTGAGAGAGAAAGTGAGGAACGTTCACTTTCACACAGACCATGTCTCTAACAAAGTCTCTCTACTGTACTACTCCAGAACAAACAATACGTTCGAGCACAATTTTGTTTTCAAATTCCTGATCGTCTGCAGAAACTTGTCTTGAGAAAGCGCTTCTTCCGACATCATCCATCAACAGCAGCCACCGCTCCCGTTGCCACCAACTCGTCATTGGATCCCAAATATCTTACCATCACCGGTTCACAGCAAATAGTACATGCACTGGCGATCCTTGAAGACAATTGCACATTTCCCTTCTCTGCAGAGGAACAAACATTTTCTCTTCAGAAAGTAATAGTTTTCGGCTCGAGTGCTGCACGCTGCGGTGCCGCTAGCCGCTAGCATAGCGAAGTACACGCACGTGACACGCGAGATTACATCATGCACTCTCCGTCGCGACTTGGGACCCGAGTGCCGGGTGCCATTTTTCGAGCTCCCACGCGTACATTCGTCGCGACAAAAAATCACGTAGTCGGGCTCCTTTCAACACCCATAACTCTCTTCCATTTGCTCTAACCCAGCCCAAATTTTAGATTTGAACGCCTGAAGCTCTAAGCTTTCCGTAGATACCCAATTCGATAGGGTTTTCCAAAATTTAATTTTCGCCTGACCTCGCTATCTGCAGTGCACACAGTGGGTGTGCGTGTTGCAGTATCCACCGCACGCAGTGTCCACACTCCAGTCAGTATCCACCGCACGCAGCCTAGTGTCCACAGCCCAGTCAGTATCCACCGCACGCAGCCTATTGTCCACAGTCCAGTCAGTGCCCATAGCACAGCGTCCACACTCCACAGCACAACTGTACATGTACATTCTATTTCAATAGTTGTGCCATTAGAAACGCCCTGGGGTTTTATCAGAACGTGGCTCAGCATGGTCACTGGTAGTAGGTTGTATCTGCGACCTTCACACCCCCACTCCCAGCACTCCTAGTGTATGGTCTTTCCCATATACCCACCCCGCCAGCAGCAGAGTCAAGCAAATCTTTGAAACAGCACACATTTAGCCTAACTTACACAAACCCAGTGTCGTATGATGATCAAGTGCAAGGTCACGGATTTGTTTTAAAAGCGATTGCTTTACAACACTACTCATCATGACATCATCATGATGTCACTATGATATCACGTCAAATGAGCATACATGTAGTTACAATCTGCTGCACCTTGTGGCCAGGTCTTCAGTGCGTTCACACATGAACCACTCTTGGAGGCAAAATTGTAACATGCAAGTCACGTAGTTATTGATGTTTGTTCCTACTAAAGACACCCTTGGAATGGAAGACACAGCATGGCTCTTCATATAACACGCCGCTCCGGGATACACAACACAGCAGTGGAGCAGGGCTAGTTTGTAGTGCAGCTCTGAGTGTCATCCTCAACTACACAGCGCAACCATCAGGCAACAATGACTCTGCCTCTGCAGTGTTGAGCACTCTCAGCACACTGGGGGCATCCTCTGAGGGCACATTCAGGGGGGGGGGGGGGGAGAGGCAAAAGTAATGTCTTGCACTACACAGAGGTAGTGCGTCTCACACCGCATCAAGCTCAGCGTGCCCCATCATCTGTCTGACACTTGCAGGAAAGGGAGAAATCCAAAGAAGTTTCCACTCACAACAGCTTCAAAGACTGATCGTCGGGTAAGGTATTGTCCTAACTAGCCGGTTGCTTTGTGTACTGTGAAAAATAGTTGCAAAACAGATTTGTCAGTGAACAGGAACTCAAACTTCATTGCCGCAGTATATTTTTGATGGGAACACGCACATTATTCATTGCTATGAACACTATTATATTCATAAGGTTGCGAGAGTTGAAAAAACAAACACTAATGGTGTACTTTCCTGAAGTAGCCCAGTGATGATAGTATCACACTATGCTCATAGGGTCAGTACATGGCTAGTATGGCCCAAATATGGCCAGTATAGGACAAGTATGGAACACAGCGTTGTATTTCGTTCACGCCTAGCGCCTGAAGGTTCCCTTCTACTAGATATTTGGCGCATAGCATAGTTTTTAATTGGTCTACAGCTCTACTTCCTTAGCAATGCTGTCTTTTAAAATTCATCGCACTCCTAAAAACACGGTGAGTATGCAATTTCTTGAACTAAACAACAGCCTTCTGATATTATATTCTTCAGGTAACAACGGAATCGGCTGAGCCTCAGAAAGAGAAGAAACCCACCATTGCGCCGGTTTCAGCTAGTCCAACACAGCAATCTCAGTCCACATTGACAAAAGCAGGTAGGCAAGCAGAGAGGTCAACCAGTACACCAACATCTCAAAACCCCAAACTGGCTAAGAAATCATCGGAAATGGATACATGTACGTTGCTATCAACAGAGGGCACATCTCTGTGCACCACCCGAGCACTGGGACAGTCTTCAAACTCTCCACATCAAACTGCTGCCAGTGCTAAATCAGCTGTAAGCAACTCAACTCAGCCCATGGACATACATGTAGGTAGCTCCCTTGGAGTAAGTTCCAAATCTTCTCCTAAGCCAGTTCGCCAGCCGAAGCGAGATACGTCACCACCATCTCAAGCCGATGAGCGGCCACGAAAACAACTGAAACCTGACCCAAAGGCTCCGACACCATCGTTGATGAATTCATCAAATGTTGTCAGTGCTCCAGGTGCAAGGGCACAGCCAGTGTCAGCAAGCCCAGCGCAGCAAAGTGTTTGCAGTAAGAAATCCATACCACCAAGCACTGGCATGGATCTCTCTGATGAGCCACCCAGTACGGAGTCACCACCATCGTGTCCCCCCTTGGCCCACTGCAGTGGTAGGAGCTCTGCTACATTGACTGGTGACACTGCCGTGACCGCTTCAACCCAGCCTGTCAGCGCCACCAGCACTACTACTTCCTCCAATGGCAGTATCAGCAGCATCAGAGTTGAGGAGAGCAACAGCAGCATTCGCTCTAGCATTGCAGGCTATATCGACAGCCGCAGGAGCACTCAAAACAAACCTAGTCATGGTATTACTACTGCTAGCAGCAGCACCTCCACTAATGGCTCCACTCCTGGCAGTAAGAAAGACAGTGGCAGCAGCTCCACTAATGGTTCCACTCCTGGCAGTAAGAAAGACAGTGGCAGCACCTCCACTAATGGCTCCACACCTGGCAGTAAGAAAGACAGTGGAAGTAGCTCCAATGTCTCCACTCCCAGCAATAAGAAAGACAGTGGCAGCAGCTCCAATGGCTCCACTCCTGGAAGTAAGAAAGACAGTAGCTCCAGCAAAGGCAGCAGCAGCAAAGGCAGTAGCAGGGGCACCAGCCCCCTGTCACACAAGGAGACCAACCACGGCCATACAGTGGCATCACCTCTTTCATCTTGTTCCGTCTCACACTCTCTGACCATGACAGGTATGAGTGACCACAGTGGTACTAGAACAGCTCCTGCAAATACAAGGAACGCCGCTTCCTCACCTGCTGGAACAGGAGTAGCTAGAAATACCAGTGGCACCGGCACCGTCACCACCTCACCTACTGACAACGCCAAGTATGCAATAACAAAGAACCCATCCAGTAGGAACAAGAGAGGAGCATCCAAACAAGACCTAACGGTTGTTGGTAGCCATAGCAACGCTGTGGTTGCTGGTAGCCATGGAAACTACAGTAGTCCTCCGATTTCAGCCAGAAACACCAGCAGTCACGCTCCCAACAAACCCACCGCGACAACATCGACAAGCAATTGTCAGAGAAGCTTCAGTACGCTGTCTAGCAAGAGTTCTTCTCTGAGCACATGCAGCAATGCAAGTAAAGCTAAGGGACGTTCTGCACCACCAGCAGCAGCAGCAGCAGCAGCAGCAGCAACATTGTCCAAGACGAATGCTTTGCTCGTGACCACCACATATGTCACATGCCCACGGACAGGGGTGTGCGTGATAGTCCGGGAAAGTCCCGTTGCCGAGGGATTCTTCAAATCTCTATGCAAATGACGGACACAATATTACTATGCCAACGCTCAGACAATACCATGATGCGATGTGGAGATGTGACAATACCATGATGCGATGTGGAGATGTGACAATACCATGATGCAATGTGGAGATGTGACAATACCATGATGCAATGTGGAGATATGACAATACCATGATGCGATGTGGAGATGTGACAATGCCATGATGCAATGTGGAGATGTGACAATACCATGATGCGATGTGGAGATATGACAATGCCATGATGCGATGTGGAGATGTAACAATGCCATGATGCGATGTGGAGATGTGACAATACCATGATGCGATGTGGAAATGTGACAATGCCCTGATGCAATGTGGAGATGTGACAATACCATGATGCAATGTGGAGATGTGACAATACCATGATGCAATGTGGAGATGTGACAATACCATGATGCAATGTGGAGATGTGACAATGCCATGATGCGATGTGGAGATGTGACAATGCCCTGATGCAATGTGGAAATGTGACAATGCCCTGATGCAATGTGGAGATGTGACAATACCATGATGCAATGTGGAGATGTGACAATACCATGATGCAATGTGGAGATGTGACAATGCCATGATGCGATGTGGAGATGTGACAATACCATGATGCGATGTGGAAATGTGACAATGCCCTGATGCAATGTGGAGATGTGACAATACCATGATGCAATGTGGAGATGTGACAATACCATGATGCGATGTGGAGATGTGACAATACCATGATGCGATGTGGAGATGTGACAATACCATGATGCGATGTGGAGATGTGACAATACCATGATGCAATGTGGAGATGTGACAATACCATGATGCGATGTGGATATGTGACAATACCATGATGCGATGTGGATATGTGACAATGCCATCTAACCAGAAGATTATAGCAGCATACCGGCTGCCCACTTTGACCAACGAAAGAGACTCCAAGCCTATTTCCTGAGGTATTTTGCTGCCGGAAAACTTCCAGCTTACATGCAACGTAAGTTGCAACAGGTTCAATTTCCCCCTCCTCACCCCCACCGCCCCGGATGTGGGCAGCAGCAGCAAGTGCTTGTCATACACACTCCACGGTCTTGGTTACTGCTAGTGACAACATCCTGACTTTTACCTTCCCTAACTTTGGGACAGTTCAAGACGTAAGTCCCACCTCTCCTCTTCCTCCTCCTCCTCCTCCTCCTCCTCCTCCTCCTCCTCCCCCTCCTCCTCCCCAGTATGCACAATAACGTGTGTGTGTGCTTGTGTGTGTGTGTGTATGTGTGTTTGTGTGTGTGTGCTTGTGTGTGTTTTGAATGTTTGCTTGCAAGACTGGATCCGTCCCACATAGTCAGTCACAGCACTAGCATTGCCATGATTTTAGTGCTACCTCCAAGGCTCCATTCACTACTATCCCTCTTATCGATTTCATGGCACAGCTCCCAGCCCGGCAGAAGCAGTGATCCTTTTACAAAGTGTTTTCCTGGCCTGTAGACCAGCTTATTTGCATATTGGCGTGCAATTTATTGGCGTGCAATTACATGTTTAAACTTTAACCCCGTTTTAACTTTAACCTCCCCCCCCCTCCCCATTCATAGCCTCCATGTACGAACATTTCATATTTCATGTATCGTAGCCCAACTGAGCTCCTCCATACCACCAACACTAATCACTATCATGCTATTTTTCATGTGTGCTGTGTTGGCCCTACTCATTGCACTGCACAACTGGTACCTCCTTCTTGCCTGTCCACAGTTTACTCTCAGTTTTATTAGACTTTACCAGATTGCCACAGTCAGACTATTGGTGGTAGTGAGACAGTTTGTATGTCACGGAATGCCTGAGCATGATGTGTTCAGAACACGTACCATGTACATCTAGCTGGTCCTGTGTTGGGAACACACGACTGTATAGCTGGTACTTCGGTGGATTTCTACTGTGTTGGGAACACACAGCTGTTTATACTGTGCGCATGAGCATCTTGCACAGCTAGAACACAATGTATTACCAAACATATCCTGAGACTCACTACATGCTAGACTGCAGCATGTTTGCCTGGTAGAGTACTATCAACAGGTATACAATCATGTATACTCTTGGTACTACTGTATAGCAGGAAATTTTCGGATGGAAATATTTTCGGACAAAGCCGAATTTCGACCTTTCGTACGGATTTTATTTTCGTACAGTGCTGCATGCTAAATGCACGTGTTCGCATGCTGTACGGATGTATAGTGTACATAACTTCACAGGAACAAATTTTAGTACGGAAATAATTTTAGTACAAAAGAGGCCGTGTACGAAATTATACGAAAATAAATACCTCCAAAAATGTCCCGCTATACAGTACATTGAAGTAGTGGCTGAATATTTGGTAGAGTACTCGTACTGGCTGAATAGCTGGTAGGGTACTGGCTGAATAGCTGGTAGAGTACTGGCTGAATAGCTGGTAGAGTACTGGCTGAATAGCTGGTAGAGTACTGGCTGAATAGCTGGTAGAGTACTGGCTGAATAGCTGGTAGAGTACTGGCTGAATAGCTGGTAGAGTACTGGCTGAATAGCTGGTAGAGTACTGGCTGAATAGCTGGTAGAGTACTGGCTGAATAGCTGGTAGAGTACTGGCTGAATGGCTGGTACTGGCTGAATAGCTGGTAGAGTACTGGCTGAATAGCTGATAGAGTACTCGTACTGGCTGAACGGTTTCCTGTCAGCATCAAGGTGTTGTGTCAGTCGCATTCCCCACCAGGAATTGAATAGTGAACTGCTATTACTTAGGGCATGTTCGATTGGTAGGATCGGAATCCCGATCCACCGGATCCACTGGATTCGCACCCTTTTGATTGGTCGAATCCGGATCCGGATCCTTCGGATTTGGATCCGGTCAACCCACCTCGGGGAGCAGGGTTGACCGGATCCAACGGATCCAAATGTGACCTTTGTGCGTATATGGCGGGTAAAAATCATTTTTGTACACATTGTGGTACGCACACGTGGATGGAGATAGAGCTTGTTGACTTTTTGTACGACGCACGCGATGAGTACGACGTTCACCCTTTTGGGTGCCTTGTGAGCGCCATTTTCAACATGGCAACAGTCAAGGTCCAAGATAAAGTGTTCAGTTGAATCTGAAGGATCCGAGGGATCTGAGATCTGGATCCCGATCCTTACCAATCGAACATGCCCTTATTAGCAGAGTGCTGGCACCAGTTTGTCGACAGAATTGTGTGCCAACAAATCTGGATTTGTTGCGAATCAGCAGAAGCAAACAGTAGCAGGAGTCAGTGTAGCTAACCAACCCTATCACAAGGAAACCTGAGCTAAAATCCACAAGTAAAGCTAGCTGCTCCTCGGTTGTGCTACTTGTACATTCATGTTTTCCTGTCGTCCATCTCTGAACTCCAGCAGGTGTCTTGCAACTTGTCTACAGTAGCAGCCTTCCTATCTTACCAGATTTAGCTGACTAGCACGTTCCCATGAGGTGAAGTTAGGTTTCACATAACACTCCTCGGACCTCCTTTAGTTTCAAGACTAATTTTCAGGACATGCTTCTCTCAGCGTCCAAGTTCAGTCTTCTCACCTTTGAACCTCACCGTCCTACCAATTCAGTGCTACAGTTCTACTTTTTGCACTTCAGTACACTGTAGTCAGAATTTGATATCCAGTTGAAGTGCAGCGTAGATCTACGGGTAGTCCGGTACCAGTAATCCAGTACATGTACTACGTGATCTACATCGGTAGTGCATTTGTGGCATGTGACATCCATTGAGTTAGCAGTTGCGGTACAGAGTTCAGAGTTCAGAGTGCAGTTGTGACGTGAGCCAGACCAATCTACTTCACATAATTATAGGTAATCTGTATTTCAGGATTACCCAAATGCTGACGCCATCGTTGGGGGGGGGGTCTCCTATTCGTGTACAGTATACTGGTATACAATGAACATTGGAGTTGGGAAAAGTGAATGTGTGCAAAATGAGTTCGGAAAAAGAGAGATGCTGTACAAAAGATACATACAAACAATACATGTACATGTACATGTAGCTACAAACCAATTGATTATCACAAGTACAGATCAGATCGCCTTCATCATTGGCATGCTTGCAGACAGTACAGCTACAGGCTGAGCTACTTCAGTTACCGGTATTGGCGTGGGATTCCAGAGGATGGAGAAACATCCCGGCTGGAGTCAGCTTTCATGAAAGGCCACAATCGCCGGTGTGTAGCATGCTGTAGATCTACCCTGTGCAGACAAGCTGTTGCAACCGCCAGAACTACTTGCAGAACTGACTTGTGGCTAAATCACGTACTGTAGATCTACCGTAATTCCCATGACTGCTTTGGACAACTACTTGGACAGTTGGCATATTTGAGGTGGGAAGTAAAAAATAAAAAATAAAAATTGGAACACAGCGATGCATGTTGTGGGCAGCCAAGTGGCGGAAAATACATCAGCAGCTGCACGTATCGTTATTGAAATCATGAACAGCTGTGCTCTTTAGTTTAAACTGGATCAGACAGTCAGCGTCGGCAGAGCTATTCTTGACTGTTGATTGAAACTACAGTTGACAGACTCGACACCACTTACCACGAACTCACATACCAGGTATAGCGAATTTCGTGATTATAGCGAACCCTTCTGCATGTCCCTGTCGGAAACCATACTAAATCGACCCTTTCTAGCGAACAGTTTTCGTATAACGAACCAAATCTTGTAGGGCCGCATAAAAATCAAGTGCACTCATACTGTCATGGGCCACTTGCCAGTCATGACTTGCTGCTTGTAAGTTGTATAGTGTGAGTGTATTTCGGTTATAACGAACTTCGGCTATAAAGAACTAATTCTCTTGCCCAATAAAAAAAGTAAACTATCGTGTCCGTTCCCAAAGGGAACTCACGACGGCCGCTAACACCCGGTAAACCCTAGCGGCAGATGCAGCGCCTTACGGTGGGGGCGAGGGGATAAGTCTCACAACCACTGACACAAGCGCCGAGAAACCCCATTAACCGTATCCATGTACCCCTTGTACCTGGCCGCAAATTCTCCTGCACAATGGTGTTCGTTATATCAGGAGTCGACTGTATTTGTATAGCTAGTACTTGCAAGAATTTTTTTGTCAAAAGTAAAGAACAGTGATGTTCAACTAGACATCGAGTTTAGTAAAGTGAGTTAGGCTGTTAGTCTCAATATAATCAAGTGATAAAACTAGTAATATGGTAGGAAAGTAATACAAACGGGTGCAGATTCTACACGAAACCAAGTGGAGTTCACGAGCAGAGAATGCTGAATACAGTCATGTACTCTGAGTACTGGTGATGAAGTGCGGATTAACGAGACACACTACGGCACACTACAGTACATCCGGTCAAACACTGGCTGAACAAGGCCCATTGAAAAACTAGTTCTTGCCTGTAGATTCACAGCATTGGAGCATTGCTCATCACAGACTTCCCTAGTCGTCGCCATTGTACAGTGTGGGCTTGTGAAGATAGACACATCAGCTGTGTTAGGCCTAGTGGAGATGAGGATTGATCATATAGTTAGTCTGTCGTGCATCTCCTGTTTATCAGTGTACACTTTGTCCAGCTGTGGTAGCCATCTCCTGTTGGTGTGGCTGCTTAAAGAAACCTTCAGCAGTGCTACATTCCCTGAAGACCACTTTGGTTTGTGCGCACGTGACATATGTTACTGTAACCTTGGGCTTGGCTACATATGTCGATGATGAATGGGCTCTTAGTCCGGTAGAACTGACAGCACTGAGATTAACTCTCTCACTGACTGGCTTGACACGCTTGGTAGGAGGCGAGAAGTCGCTGGAATCAGTTGGCAGCATGTTGGGATAGCGTTGCCACACACTTGCAGAGTGGGCTAGTGTGGCTGGTGCTAAGCCCAGTGATCCAGTGACTGCTGTATCATGCGATGATTTCCCCTAAAGCACAGTCATGATGGTGCATCACATGTACACATGGTCAGTACAGTGTGGTATTATGACGTGTGCTTCACTGGGTTCATGAATCTTCTACTGTAGCGGGATATTGCCTGCTAGAAATACCATATCCCATGTGTCAGCAGCATAGCTCACACTCGGCTGATCATGTAATATTGACATGTGATGCACTCTACATAGCACTAACAGGACACAGCATGTGCAAACTGCAGAGTTGACCCAGATGTATCTTAACACCGGTCTACCACAAGCAGGTACGTTTGACCCTCATTTTTTAGGGTCTTGTTGCTAGGAACTCTTCCTCTCCTCTCCTCCATGCGCTCTCACAGCCGACTCACTGCTACCCTCGGTAGCCATTACACACACCAACCAAGTGACAGTGAGTCGGCTGTGAGAGCGCATGGAGGAGAGGAGAGGAAGAGCTCTTTACATTTTATTGGCCGAATAGTACCGTTCACCATTTGTTGCTGAGATCGAAGGCTTTCTGACGGTGTACAAAGCAACCATACTTACCATACAACATGTTGACGTATCGATCTACTGAAATTTGTTGAAATTGGGGAAAAAACGACAATCTGCCATGCGCGCATTTCGAGAATGTGAATGCATCTCTTGCAGTCTTGGGGCCGTGTTTGACAAGTGTGTCTGACAGCAGTAGGTTCACAAGTCCAGGCTGGATCTGCCGGCAGGTTTTGCAGTGTAGTGTGTTCAGTCCAGGCTGGATCTCCCGGCAGGTTTTGCAGTGTAGTGTGTTCAGTCCAGGCTGGATCTCCCGGCAGGTTTTGCAGTGTAGTGTGTTCAGTCCAGGCTGGATGTCCCGGGAGGTTTTGCAGTGTAGTGTGTTCAGTCCAGGCTGGATGTCCCGGCAGGGTTAGTGTGTTCAGTCCAGGCTGGATCTCCCGGGAGGTTTTGCAGTGTAGTGTGTTCAGTCCAGGCTGGATGTCCCGGGAGGTTTTGCAGTGTAGTGTGTTCAGTCCAGGCTGGATCTCCCGGCAGGTTTTGCAGTGTAGTGTGTTCAGTCCAGGCTGGATGTCCCGGCAGGTTTAGTGTGTTCAGTCCAGGCTGGACCTCCCGCGAGGTTTTGCAGTGTAGTGTGTTCAGTCCAGGCTGGATGTCCCGGCAGGTTTTGCAGTGTAGTGTGTTCAGTCCAGGCTGGATCTCCCGGCAGGTTTTGCAGTGTAGTGTGTTCAGTCCAGGCTGGATCTCCCGGGAGGTTTTGCAGTGTAGTGTGTTCAGTCCAGGCTGGATGTCCCGGGAGGTTTTGCAGTGTAGTGTGTTCAGTCCAGGCTGGATCTCCCGGCAGGTTTTGCAGTGTAGTGTGTTCAGTCCAGGCTGGATGTCCCGGCAGGTTTAGTGTGTTCAGTCCAGGCTGGACCTCCCGCGAGGTTTTGCAGTGTAGTGTGTTCAGTCCAGGCTGGATGTCCCGGCAGGTTTTGCAGTGTAGTGTGTTCAGTCCAGGCTGGATCTCCCGGCAGGTTTTGCAGTGTAGTGTGTTCAGTCCAGGCTGGATCTCCCGGCAGGTTTTGCAGTGTAGTGTGTTCAGTCCAGGCTGGATGTCCCGGCAGGTTTAGTGTGTTCAGTCCAGGCTGGATCTCCCGGGAGGTTTTGCAGTGTAGTGTGTTCAGTCCAGGCTGGATGTCCCGGGAGGGTTTGCAGTGTAGTGTGTTCAGTCCAGGCTGGATCTCCCGGCAGGTTTTGCAGTGTAGTGTGTTCAGTCCAGGCTGGATCTCCCGGCAGGTTTTGCAGTGTAGTGTGTTCAGTCCAGGCTGGATCTCACGGCAGGTTTTGTAGTGTAGTGTGTTGGGAGAAAGAGCTCCGTTGAGTCCTGCTACTTCAGTAATTCAAAAATAAACCGTCCGCGAATGAAGAAATAAAATTCTCGAAACAGAGAGGAAGTCTTCTTGCTGCTGGCACGGCAACAGCAACTCTGACAAAGACTCGTCAAGTGCGATCAGCTGCTTCGTCTGGCCGTGATAATCACAGCATGCGTAAGCTTGCGCCTGAGTACTCATCTGAGCGAGAGTGAATCTGACGCGAGCGGCGCTGAGATGAACGAATCGAAACTGCGATATCGTGGAATGGGAATTGCTGCTGCTGGCGTATCGCTGCTGGCGAGGTGTTGGTGTTCAATGGCGGGATTGTAGAGAGCCTACATCTCTGATTATTTATCGTAGGACTTCGGCTCTATCACATACTTGGTACGCCCTTCGTGCTGTGATATTCGTGTATTTCATTCACAATTGTATTTTCTCTCCACTTGAATGGCTACCACGGGCTGTACCCTTGCCTGGACCTAGTCATATTTGAATTTTCCGGACGCGTTCAGGCATACAGATTTTGAAAATATACGGCTTACCCATACCTACATGATTACGGTTCTTGAGTTATTGCTTGTTGTGTGTATATGTATTTGTGTGACCACCCCTCACATACAGTGAGTTAGACCGGCAAAGGGTTAAACACCAGACCTTTCCGGTGAATGTTTGCTGTGACACATGACAGCTGCCGGAATCACTTGGCCTATGGTTCATTTGTACAGAGTGCTTTGCCAGAGCCTTTCTTCCGGCTAAAAATGGCTTTGCACCTAAACTGACGCATGAGCATGTTTCATTCTGCAAAAAGATCACTAGTTGCAGATAGCCTCTTTAACCCTTTATTACCGGGTTACTTGCACAGCATGCACCAGAATTACGAATTTCAGCACAATTTCCAACTTCACCAGGTCATAACTTTGGTCTCCTTCACTTGATTTTCACAATCTAGGGCTCGTTGGAAAGCTCTTGGCGAGAGCAACTCCAGGGTACCAAGCTCCATTATCCAGTCGCCACAAATCAGGCGCGGTAACACAGCAAAGTCGTCTCCAAGCCTGATATGCAAGCAAATTCGTCACATCAACGCCATTCCACTCTCCTTCATCGCAGAACGCTCAAATTTGTTTGAGACGATTCAAACTTCAGCCGACTACGTCATTATCATGTGCTTAGTCGCTCAAAGAGCACACGAAAAGGGATTTCCCCCAAAATGACGAAGTGATCGATCAAAAACTTGAATTTGCCGAGATGAGAATACGGCGCGCAATATCTCTGGCGTCCGACATCGTAACTCTTCGGCGATTGTTGCATTGGATAGCTTGGAGTTTCCGCTACCAAATAGACCTTTCGATTGTTGAATTCGCACAAGAAATGATGGAGTTACGAAGATATTACTGGCCTACAGACTTTCGATCATATATGATCGAAAGTCTGCAGGCCAGTAATAAAGGGTTAAATAGGCAACAAGCACGGTGGACAAGAGCTCTGCCGTTGGGGCTTTTCGACTGGTAAGCCTAGGAACAAATGAACCGAGTTTGAGCAAGCATGATGCTGCCTTGTCTGCCCAATTTCTAGTCTATTTTCACGAAGGTTATTTCATGTGCTGACATCAACGGTGATTCCGTCCCAGAGGACTGTGGAAAGTCTACTCTGTGTTATCATGTGCACAGTGTTATCATCACCCAAGTGCAGGGTTTGAAACTTGGGCATGCTTCCTGCAGCATGGCTCACCTGGTCTTAGTTGAATGCCAGTGTTTCAGGCTATTGCTCCCCAAGGTATGGGTCTTACAATGGAGGGTAAGTCACACAGCCGGTATCTTAGTCACGCCGCCAATACCTTACAGTCCATTCATCAGAACTGTCCCGCTGGCTTTTGAAAGTCCGATTTGGGCCGAATTGAGGATCAAAAACCCACTTTAAATCTAAAAAATCTGGGTTTTGGATCTGCTCCTCCATACATTTTGCTATGGTATACCTGTCCCAATTTCGTAAAACCTGGCTGAATTTCTATTTCCCTGTTCTTTGACTTTTCTGGCCTCAAATGTGGCTAGGAGAAATTGCACGGGTCACACAATGCAGGATGTACTGTTGTTTTCACAATATCTACAAGTATGTGTGGGAGACACGAAAAAGTTAGGGTGCCAGTTTCCAATGAATGGACTGTAGTCATGCAGCCAGTATCTTAGTCATGTTCCCAGTACTCACTACACACCTGTAGCATTATTGTCAGTATTCTATTAGTGATCTATGCTTTGTCCAAAGGTATTTGGTCAATGCCGGTCCCTTTACGTGCAGCTTTCTCACAGCTAACGCCGTCACAGAGTAATATATAAGTAGTAGCAGCAGCAGCATGCATGCTTTGTGCTTCACCTTGGCATATGCGTGTGTTGAGTTGTATGATCTGTGTGTTGTGACAAGCCCACCATTCCTGTTGTCTGCCGTCTTGCCCGACCTGTACATACCAGAACAGAATAGGTACAGGATATTATCAGGATATTGAGCAGTGTTTCTGCTAAGCATTTTCCCTTAACCCATTTCACTTCCCTTTCGTCTCATCCACCCTTCCAGGAAACTACCCCGATAAGTATCCATTTACTTTCGGAGAATCCTTCAAATAAAGTCTACAACAAAAATGCAGTGTAGACCATACATATGAGTCTCGTATATGACAGATAAAACAAGGTTTTAGTTGCAAAGGGGAGAGAGGGGCTCTGCCCACCATCTTGTTCAGCACGACAGCAGTGTGTGCACATAGAAAGAACTAAGTGCAGTCCAATGTGTTCCTTCACATCACCACCACCACCACCCCGTCTCCTGCAAACCTGCAAACCTGAGCTCATGTGCCATTGAGGTAACCACAAGTAATATTCAATGTGGCCAACACTGCAGCAAGTTCCTTGCAAGTCCCAGTACTACATTACACAACGCTTACTGTCGAGGGGTTGATTTCTCGGCGTTCGACGACGAAGCCGAACCGCTAGAATTCCGCTGCTCTTGTTCAAAAGCCTCGAATAGTCGTGGGTCAAGGATATTGCCTTCTGGTTCCCAGGTGTTGTACCTGAAGCGGAGCACAATACGGAGTAAATCTGTCAGAGAACAGCAGCACACCCAATGATGCTTTCAGGCACGCAATGCGAGGATTTCCCTACTCTCCCTCCCTCCTTCCTTCCTAGCCTTCCAACATTGCTGACCTTGCCAATTTGTACCTGTTTCCATCGTAGTGACCTGTGTGGTATTCCCTGACCTGTGTGGTCTTCCCTGACCTGTGTGGTCTTCCCTGTATCTTAGTGACCTGTGTGGTCTTCCGTGTATATGAAATACCACATGCAGTCGTTAGTGACCTGTGTGGTCTTCCCTGTATATGAAATACCACATACAGTCGACTCCACTTGTAACAAACTCGCATATAGTGATATAGCGAACCATTGTCCATGTACCTGTTTGAATCAATACAAAATTGACCGTTTATAGCGAACAGTTCTCATTTATAACGAACCGAATCTTGTGGGGCTGCATGTAGTGCACACCAAATGCACTGGTACTGTCATGGGCCACATATCAGTCAATCCCACAGTCAATCCCACAGTCAATCCCACTCAGTCAATATCCCACTCATGACTTGCTGCTTGTATAGTGTGAGTGCATTTCTTTTATAACGGACTTTGGCTATAAAGAACTAATGCTCCTGCACAATGGTGTTCGTTATATCAGGAGTCGACAGTATCTAACTGCCCCCCCCCCCCCCCCACCCCCCATTTCGGACTCCGTGACTAGACCCATTGGCAGACTCTGTGACTATACGTTGCCAGGCTTATCTAAAAGAGACAAACGAGAATACGGTTGTCATGGTGAATAGATCCGGCAGCGTTTGTCAGTGAAGAAAGGTTTCACAACCCTAAGTACGGCATGTATCGGACCACAATCACAATCATGTACAATCTGTATTTTTAGTATTTTTCGTTTTGTCCTCTGTATGTATTTCTCACAGGCCATGCATACAGAAGAGTGAGCCTAGGCTGACTAGATTGGGAAACACATTCTTTAACGCCATGCATCTCACTTTTTCACTTACTTTTCACCGTAACCTTTCCACTTGACCAGGTATTGGACTTTGCCGCCCTGAAACAGTGAACATGATTGTAGACAGCTATCAGCTATTAGTAGGCTTTTACCCTGGAAAATAGTCAACTCATAAATATATACAGCTAAGAAAGTGTCTGCTCCGAACGTCGGAGTTCGCGCTCCCTGCCGAGTGGACTTGACACTTGCCTGACTCACTGTGTATTGGGCAGGGAGTGGTGCTTTCTTGCAGGTTTTTTTTTTTTTTTTGCCGAGTGGAAGGTTTGACGGGCCTCTCGTGTGCTCCAGACACAATCGTGAGTCAGTCAAGTGTCAAGTTAATCGGCAGGAAGCGCGAGCTCCGACGTTCGGAGCAGACACTTTCTTCACTAATCACCGCCGATGTCGCAACATCTTTCATACACAGCTATTACCAGAAATCCAGCAGTTAGGAATCACAAGTAATGCATTCCAGATCCTGGTTTCCTTAAAAAAAGGTCCTTAAAGGTGGTAATGCTGGCAAGTTATCAGCGGTGACGGTGGTGGATGTGATAGCGGAGGTGGTGGTCACGGTTGGTGATGGTGGCGGTGGAGGTTGTGGTGGTAGTAGTCATCTTTATTGTTCAATCCACAAAATGGGATGCAGAAAGTGAAGAACCACCCGAGGTAGACAGCCATTATAAATATTAAAAATGTTAGGGCCCTTACACACTACGTAGAAAACCGCTTTTTTGTTGCGTTCCTGTAAAAGTTGCCATGTCGACTGACGTCATATGGCACGAAATCTAAAAAGTTGCGTAAACGTTTTACTCAGATCTCGGACGGGTGTAGAAGGCTGCTTTTTAGCTTTTTAGCTTTTATGCCTTCCCGCGCTTTCGGACTTCAACTTCTTGTTGGTGTTTTTGCTGTTTGGTGCTGTGTGGATTTCCGTGTTTCAATTTCAGCTGTCCATTGGACTTTTCGCCTGCTTCTGAAATTCTCGTACCTGAACTCGTGTTGTTCAAGCCGTAGTAGACTCGATCTTGTTTGATTGCTGAGCGCGACACGATGCCGAAAATCCAGTGCACAGAAGAAATGGAGGCGAAGCTCATGGAGCTGTGGGCGATATATCAAAAAACAAGGCGTTCCAAACTCGTTCTCAGGGTGAGCTGTCCACAAGTTGCGACCAATTCTGTATTTGACGGTACCATTCCGCAACAGCATGCTGAGCATCGTCGTGACCATGAAATTTGAGCAACTGCGATCAGTCATCTAGAAAATATCAAGAGCAGGACCGCCATCAGACGACTTCACTAGCTTCTGCAGGTCCTGCAATATCATGGCGGCAACAATTTTACGTCGCCGCTTTCTCCTTGCCGGAGTCAACCTGAGCTCCATGGGCATGGCTCCAACACAAGATGCAGAACGAAATCGAAGAAGCACACACAGCACTCGTTCTGAGAGCAGAACATTAAATTAATTTTCATCCGAACTGCACTACATCAGTACAGTCATGTACGTAAAAAGCAGATCACCTGTCAGTGTGCAACTGCACTTGATCAGGCTGGCGCATACGCAACGTATGCTCAAGTTAGTTGCGTTTTACATGTACGTAGTGTGTAAGGGCCCTTAGGGGTCGTCCGCAATTATCGAAAGTTTTTTCCAATCCGTAGTAGCTTCGAATTTTTCCTCACCCACCCACCCACCCCCCCAGTCCGTAATAAAATATTATTGATGGACACACAACCCAACACATACATGTATGGAACAAACTCAATCAGTGCTGGTCCATGAGTCATAGTGACATCATGTCAGAGTCACCAGCGGTTTTGAAAAAGGGCTGCTTCTTCACCGCCTTTCCAAACAACGTCGCCTGTCTGGACATAGTCAATAACAGTCGTCAGTGCCAGCGCTAGACGGAAGGACTTCAAAGGAGTGCATGGAAGACGGTACTCTGGACGAAGGAGACAGTGAAACTCAAAAATAGAAAGTGTCGACTCGCCGTCGAATGCGCCGAACTAACTTTATGATCACCGGCCCAGGAGCAGCGAAGGAAGCGCGCGCGGGGGTGCAGAAACTGCCAGAACTACAAAAATATTTGTAGTAGACAGTTCGCGCGCAGCCGCGCGTGGAAAACAGGGGCTACACGCAGACGTACACGTGGCACGCGCACGTACGTGTCATTTCGGAAGTTTTTCAATCCGTAACTGGCCTTGACCCACCCACCCACTTTCGAAGCTACTACGGATTGGAAAAAACTTTCGATAATTGCGGACGACCCCTTATTATGCCATGCCAGCCAGCTATTATTAAGTCATGTATGAACCCACAAAGGTGGTGGTGGTGGAGGTGGTGGTGGTGGTGGATGTGGTGGACGTGGTGGTGGACGTGGTGGTGGAGGTGGTGGTGGTAGTGGTGGTGGTAGTGGTGGTGGCGGTAGTGGTGGTGGCGGTAGTGGTGGTCGTGAAGGTGGTGGTGGTGTTGGTGGTGGTGGTGTCGGAGGTGGTGTTGGTGGTGGTGGTGTTGGTGGTGGTGGTGCTGGTGGTGGTGGTGGTGCTGGTGGTGGTGCTGGTGGTGGAGGTGGTGGTGGTGGTGCTGGTGCTGGTGGTGGTGCTGGTGGTGGTAATGGAGGTTTTGGCAGTGGTGGTGGAGGTGGTGGTGGCGGTGTCAGTGGTGGTGGTAGTCGTGGTGGAGGTTGTGGTGGTGGAGGGAAATATGGCCCAAATAGCCCATATTAAAAAAATCACAAGATAAAATTATTGTAATATAGAGATAAATGTTGCTAAACACGCAGCCATTAGTATGAGGAAATGCCATACAGTCACAAAGGCACATAGAGATAAATGACATTGTGTAGGTACAAGTATTTTTGCCATAAAAGGAACATTTTCATGTGACAATTTGTACCTACATGTACATGTACCTCTTGTACCCGGCAATGTGTATAAGACGCAGCTTTTCACACAAAAAGATCAAGGGTAGAAAAAGGGGGTGCGAATGCGAATTTCTACAGAAGTCTACATATAAAAACAATACTGCTCAAACCTGAAAATGGGGGTGCGACTTATAATTGTGAGCGACTTATAATCAGGGAAATGCGGTATATGTCTGTGACTGTATAGCGTTTCCTAGCACAGTAGATATTGGTCATAACGTGCCCTTCTGATTTTTCACATTTATCACTATAACCGGTATATCACTACAGGCGATTTTCAACTGCGCTCGTCATACATACACATTATACACGTGTGGGTACTCGATCGCGCTAATGTAGCGTACTGATACATGATGCATGCTGCTGCACCTTCCCCAGTCTAGGGTGAAGAACTTCTTGGCCCAAAGGCATCATCCAGGAAGCATCAGACCAGAATACACTATGGAAACAGACATGTGGCTCCAAGTCGAGACATCAATGCCTCGCACTCGTGTGTTGCTATCACTATAGACGATAATCTTTCTGCACGAAGAGGTGTTTTGAATGGTGATTCTGTATCCTTATAGCCGATTTATCGCTATATACGATATATTGGTTATAATGATAATTTGACTGGCTTTTTCTGATTTCGCTTTTGATATTTTCATTTTGTATCAATAGCCGGTTTATCACTATGTCCGATGACTTTATAACCGATATCCACTGTATTAATGGCTGTACATTTAGCAACATTTATCTCTATATTACGGTTTAAATAATCGACGCGGAGACAGCAATTTTATAATAGCAACAAAGAGACCAAATTCTGCTGGCATCGCCACACTTCAACGAAGTCATGAAAGTTTACCAAAATCGATTTTCCTGTCACATTCATCAGTGGAATGTCGTGACTGAAGAGTATCCGTGCTGTACAATGATTAAATATACATTCAATAATGTGTTACGAGAACAAAATAAAGTGCTAAAATAGAATGAAGGAAGGTGAGACTACAGAAGTGAAGTGAGAGCTAAGTGCAAATGGGGTGAGAAACTAAGTGCAACACTAGAACTGTGTAGTGAGACAAAACAATCATGCTGTGCACCTACGAAAACAATCTTGATGCAACTACATGTTTCTTCTGCTTACAACGATCAGGCTTGTACAAACGAATACAAACAGCCTCAAATACTTTCAACTGACTAGCATACCGTGCACGACACAGCACAGAAAAACTAAGATGTAGTTGCGTTAAGATTGTTTTCGTAGGTGCACAGCATGATTGTTTTGTCTCACTACACAGTTCTAGTGTTGCAATTAGTTTCTCACCCCATTTGCACTTAGCTCTCACTTCACTTCTGTAGCCTCACCTTCCCTCATTCTATTTTAGCACTTTATTTTGTTCTCGTAACACATTATTGAATGTATATTTAATCATTGTACAGCACGGATACTCTTCAGTCACGACATTCCACTGATGAATGTGACAGGAAAATCGATTTTGGTAAACTTTCATGACTTCGTTGTAGTGAGGCGATGACAGCAGAATTTGTTCTCTTTATTGCTATATTACGGTTTAAATTTTTTTACTTTTACACAACCTACTCGTCAGAAGGGGAGAAGACAACAGAATATACAATAACAAAACAGCAGGGAGAGAAGGGGCTGCAAAGCAAGCCTGTGCTGGTGAGGCAAGCCCACAACACCGACCTATGCCTGGTCTCGGCGTTACTGTTAGTCTTTTTAGCCGAAAGAAGATTTCAATGGAATCTTTTCACTCACAGATCCGTAGAGCTCAATTCTGAATAATGTGGGAGCTGTTCTTCTCATTAATAGTGCGGTTTCTGTCTCGTCGACTTTTTATAAAATTATTATTGTGCCGCACTCTACCACTGATCTACATGTATGGTGTAGTCATCATACAAGCAGCAACCGTTCGATATTTTCTTCACACTTCACAACTCGTGTATCCTGTAAATCCATATACGCACGCTGGTGGGACGCAGCACTCATTGTACCCACACACTTCACATACAAACTACAGTCCATTCATAAAAGATGGACTTCTTCCTTTTTTGGCCAGGTTTTGCCCCGAAAGCACTGAATTGGGAAAACCATCAAAATCCAGGCCGTTTGACCTTGCCTACAACAGTGCATTGGTTTGAACCCCAGTTCAGGTATCCTTTTTGGACGCTTTTTCAAATTTCAAATTTCGCAGCACTGCACTGTGTACGATAAAATCACGAAAAATCGCCAAGTACGGGAACCAGGGCTCATCTTTTTATGAATGGACTGTAGTACCCTACTTCTTCTAATCTCTCTTCAAAAATTTGAGAACCAGCTGCCCCTTCTGGCAATATCAAAAGCTGCAGGGCTGTTCGAGAATCAAGTCATGTCTGTTCATTTCGATGGTGCACTAGTAAGGCAGAAGCATCTCTTGTGCAATTTTCGTGCCCCTTTGTGACCTAGAAATTGTCCTGGGTTTGGGGTGAGGTAGATTTGAATGCCAGAGAACGGGTGTGTGTTGAAGTCTTGAAAGTGAAAAAATATCTTGAAAGTGGTCTCCTAGAGTGACTGAGTGTTTGTTTTGTTCATGCTGATCATCCCTCCCCATCCTGCGCATTCTGAGAGTTGCCTGAGCAACTTAGGCACAGGACCTTTTCCTCAAGAAGATGATCACCAGACATCATCATAGATTGCACAAGACTCCGACAATGAGTGGAAGAGGTTCAATCGATTAGACCACGCTTTGTCAGCGGCCCGTTAATTGCGAGGAATACTGATCGTTTTACGCTCAGTGGAACCTCTCGCAGCGGTAATATTAGCGTAGATTTACTGTCGTTTCGAATATCATGCGAATATCAAGTGATCTAGAAACGGCTTTTTTCTTTTCCAAATCAGAAGTGTTTTTCGCAGCCGAGAACTAACTTCTTTTCCTTTGCGTAAAGATAGAGTACTGAAGTCGATGTCTTAGCGGGTAGCAGCTCGGAAAGCGAGGAATGGTTTCCTCCTGAGGTCGGATGATGGGCTAGCTCCTGGAATACTTACAATGTAGGCCAGTGTCCCCTTGGCTTAAGAGAGTAGTTACACGGGGTAAAAGATTTGCTTCAAAGGAAACGCGATTGCGTTGGTGAAAAAACGAACTCGCGGGCTGCGCGTCTTCTTTGCTTGCGATTGAGTACCACACCAGGCGCTGAAGACGCGTTCATCTCCTGAAGGGGGAAATAAGAGCTTCTCCGTCGTGCTTGGAAGAGGCTGCCTCAATCGGACAAGATGAAGCTTTCCCACAGTGCTCTAATTTAACAGGCACGACCAGGAAGTTTTAGGATTTACGTCAGCTGCGATTGGTACTTGGCCAAGGACTTGCCGGAGCGTTCGAGAGGTCCAGAGTGCGTCTGTACGACTGCAGTAGATCCGTATCCTCTCCATCAGTATCTCAGCCCGCTATTCATGATAGGAATGTTGGACCTTGCTCGCCTTCTTTCCCAAGAAGGAACGCGTGTCAGTGGTCCCTTGCCGCAAAGAGTAGCCGAGTTGCTGTGAATGAAGTGCCTTCTAGCGCACCGCTTGACGCTAGAACAGGGTCAATGGCAGCCAGAGACCAAGTGAAGCACAGTGCGATACCGCTAGACGATGCACAGGGCCATGGCTGACGTACCCACGGCAGGGCGATGCGTTTTCTCACCCTCTGTCAAAAGAAAAAATTCGCGTGGTAGTGGTAGAGATCGATCTGCGGGCGGCCAGGAATCGCTCGCAAACATCAGTGTCATGAGGGCCTTAGACATCAGTGAAGAAGACAAGCAGAGCAAGAAGATAACTTACGCTTTGAACACGTCTTTTCTTGAGACACTCCGCGGCGAAGATGTCGTCACCACCACTTGCATTCTGTTGAGCCGACATTGTTGCTTTGCTGTCTTCCTCCTCCCGATTTTTCCACTGCACTTTTTCTACGTCTATGTTGGAGTGCATATGCATGCATGCGTAGTGAGTCTGCGCCCGCAGCGCGCGCATGCACACTCAGCATGCCAATGCCATCACGTACTTGTCGGCCCTGCTGGCCTGATCATTGCTCAAGTATGTCACCATGTGAAAATAATGCCTAGCAAATAGCACGCTCAAACATGAAACACTCTGTTGCCAGTGCACTAGACTAGTGTTGGTAGTTGGTACTCTTCCACCCCCGGCCCCGGCCATGCGCTACCTGCGCGTCCACACTGTCATGAGTCATAATAATGATGGTTGTCCGACAGCTGCAGCTGGCCAAGTATGGCATGCATGGCACACAAGGAAAATGAGTCACTTCACTTGTAGATGCTTCACATCTACATGACTGCAGACTCTCCTGCCCACCTTCGCCAGGCTTCGGCAAAGACTGCGCTCATGCAGGCATGCACTGGTTTTAGATGTTGCATCAAGCACAGACTCAGTACGCGCGTAGATCTACCCGCGCGTGCACGCGTGGTCATCTCCCACGTCACGTGTGGTAAAGGCGCGAACATACCGGACGCCATCACTGCTCTTTCAACGCATGCGCGTATGGAAGTATTAGTTGCCGTGCATGGCGTGCGGTCGTTTTGAGTGGTACCCGCTGCCCGGGCGCTGAAACTGTGAAAGGACATAACAACAACGACGTCGTTACGTGATACTGGCAGTGCACAATCATGTACATGTATGGCCATAGTTGCGTGATCTCATTATCAGGGTCGCACATCATCATTGATGATCACTGTGATCACTGATCAGCTGATGGCACAGTGAGTGATGTCATTAATCATTGGCATTATCCGGAATCCACGCACACAAAGTCAAAGGCACACAATGAAAACCGTGGCCCAAGGCTTGGGCAAATTCCGTTGTGACTCAGAGTCAGAGTTTCATGGCTGAACCAATCATCAGACAACCAGGAATCGACGTATTCAACTATTAGCACTACAACGCTTGCAGTGCTATAAAATAAATGAGACAGCTCAATATTAATCCGCAACGTGCAGCCCAAAGTACGTACCGCTGGTTCGCCGCGCCTTGCGCTAGGTTCTCGGCGCTCGCACCAATACGAATCTGACGAGTGACGGTCGGGATCTCCAGATAACTAGGCTATCTAGTATCTGTGACACACTGTGATTCACTGTGAAGACATAAAATATTGGCTGAAGTGAAGAGTGAAGACCTTCGGTCGTGGATCTGACATGGCGGTGTTTTCATCCAAGAATAAGTTAGGATTTGTTGATGCCATCTTCATAAGGGCCGTCGATCAATAGTAGCGGTAGATTTGTCTTGTGACCAGACGAGGCCACAACGCTTGCAGACACTGGCACGGACACTGCACCAGTCACACTCCACAACAGCTAGAAGTTAGTTGCTCCTTAAAAGCCTTGTTTCGTTCCATTATGATGACGGGAACTCATCAGAGGAGAGGCAGACACTGCATATGCATATCTACCTCTCCTCTGCTGAGTTCCCGGCATCATAATGGAACGAAACACAACTAAGTTACTTGTCAGGAGCAACTCAGTCTAGCTGTTGTGGAGTGTGACTGGTGTCTGCGAGCGTTGTGGCCTCGTCTGGTCACAAGAAAAAACTACCACTACCAAGTTATTTAGTATTAGAAGCTGTTTTCATCCGTAAACACAATCCTAATCTATGCATTCAGAAAGAAAATGTCACAAAACTGAGACTCTTCACCTAGCATTCACACACGTATTCATTCGCATACACCTACACCTCACAGTTGCTCACTCTATCACATTCACCTGCTTCCACGCCTTCATTTCACTCACATTTTGTAGTAGCTCACACCGTCAGAACACTCTCACATCTTTTCTTCTAATTTCTTTCGTCTTCTCCCCCACTTTAGTTTTTTTTCACACCTCACCTTGTATACTTCCCACTATCCGATAACCTATAAGTAGTTTGTTTCTCCGTATAGCCTCTATTGTGAGACGATTTTCCCTGATGATAGTCTCAAGAAAATCGATTAGGAACAACCATTTTAGATACATGTATTATCATTCATCATTTTGTAATGTCCGCTTCACTAATACTATTAATCGCATTAATAAAGTTATTGTCTCCTCGTCGCCTTTTCAACTACCAAGTTAGTTTGGTTCACTTCGGCTATCGTCAACCTGTAAGGAAGGATAGCCGTTATCGCCCTATTTATTGGACCATAGCAAACGATCCTCTCTCTCTCTCTCTCTAGGCTCTTGTCCAATGTCAATCTCTGCGGGTTGCCGGGGCTATCAGGGTTGTTATCTTTTTCGAAAGTGCCAGGGTCTAAGGCCAAAACTAAACTTCTAGTTGGTTGTCATTATGCGATAAACAAACTAAAGCTGACTGGACCGGCGTTGTGCAATCAGCAATTGATATTCTATGCTCTTGTCCTGCTTGAACTATTTGTTTGCTTTGTTTCATCATGGCTCATTTCCTAACGTTTGCCCTTCTCTCGTTCCCGGAGTAACATCCAGCCATCCATACTGACATAAACACAAACATACATGTACACCGAAGCAAACAAACCCTTACCCATACCCGCCTGGAGCCCGATGGCGATGATGGCAATGCCACAGCAGAAGCCAATGCAACCTTTGCTGGGATTGCAGCATTCCACACAATTCTCAATAGCTTGCGAATCTGAAGAATTGACCGCCACGGTCTAGCCTCGTCCAGAACGCATAGCTTTGGAAGGACCTACATGTACATTTATATCTGGCCAGTGAATCTTAGTTATTCCTCAGTGCGTGGGTATGTCTGTTTAATAACGGCCACGCACACGCACACACATACATGTACATGTATAGCATAACACGGCATGCCGTATTATATTTTAGGCGGCTGTAGCCTCAGTGTAGGAGAACGAGGAAGCGAATAAACTTCCATGAAAGGACTGTGTGTGCGTGTGTGTGGCCATAATCATCTCACTTATACACACTCACAACAACGTGGGAATATAGATTTGAATCACCACCACCGCCACCACCAACAACAACAATAACAAAAGCAGCAGCAGCAACACCACAACAATAACACACACGGCTATTTTGGTATCAGAAAACATTTTAGTTCCGTCACGAAAGCCTTGAATCTATCGCCGATTGATATAATGTAAACTGGCGAACGTTGAGTGGAACAGCATTTTCAGGATGAAGAATGAAGTACTTCAACTAAGCGTAAGAACTCGCCCAGGGAGACGTCAAATATAAGCATATGACGACTCCTTGAACTCGCCCACTGCGGCATTTTCCTTCCACTTGTAAACACTACCATTCCCCGAAAATGCTCTCCGCTGCACCAGATGAATGAAAAAAGGACTATTGGCAATCCTCGTTCATTCATTCTGTGCAGCGGAGAGCCTGTTCGGGGAAAGGAAGCGTTTGCAAGTCCAAGAATGAAGTACAATCATGCACATGTAAATGTAAGAAAGTATTAGTTCTAGAGTCACGAGACTCACCACGGGTCCACGAGGTGCATAATACAGTACATGTATCTCACTCTCGACAATATCGGGTTTTGTAGCTGATTTTGTCAAGGACGGCCTTCTGGAGTTCTGGGTTAGAAAATTAAAATTTCCTTTATGAAAGACTTGGACAACAAGCTTGTCTTGCGAGAATTTTTCGTCTAACGGAGAGACTGTTTCGTGACCGTGTCTCCTGAGGATAACTGCTGTTGTATTTGTATTTGGCATACCGCCGTCCAGTCAATGCACTCCTCAGTGATGGTTCTGTGGTATTCAGTAAAAAAAATAAATAAATAAAAAAATAACTCCGAGAGTTGGCTGTTGTGGAGGGGCATATGTGACGTGTTGTTTGTCTTAGTTCTTACGATTTTGATTGTATTTTAATCTGTAGTAGGTGCTGCTGTAGTTTTGAAGTGGTGCTACAAGCACATGTACATAGTGTACATAGTGTACATAATCACACACTTTTCTTCTTTTCTTTTGGGTGACATTTTTTCCTTTTCTGGTTTTCTGGGTTTGCATTAGGCCTTTGCGGAAAATGCCGGCAGAAAAAATTGGCAGAATTCGGTACTTTTTCTGGTAAGTTTCATGCATGTTTGGTATGTGGATAAAGAAATGGAGCAGAATTCGAGGCATTGCCCGCCATAAGGTTTGTATGGTTCTGCCAATTTCACTGCTTTTCGAGCAGAATCTGCCACCTTTTCGAGCAGAATCTGCCACCTTTTCGAGCATTATCCGCCAATGCCTAGTTTGCATTACATTTGTATTGCATTTTCATCCATTGTGTTTCTTTTGCCCGTACAAGACTCTGTCAAGAGGCGTCGCAAATTGTCTAAACTGTTGTACATGTATTTGTTACGGTCACTTGCCACGATTAGTTACAGGCATACATTGTATAATAGAATTGAGAATTGGTCTCGGCTGTCTACTACAGTCAGTGCAGCCAAACAGAGTGATCCAACTACAAGTAATACTAATAGTTCAATTGGTCAAGTCTCTTTGTTTCAGCCATGCGACATAGCATTGTGCTGTATTGCAGCGACAATATTATAATTGTCTGCACAAGTCGTGTCAAGTGCATCATGTTCAAAGATGGGGTTGATTGCTATGGTCCAGTATGGAGCGTGCAGCGTGGTGACACAAACCCTCTTCTTTCTCTGTACTGTGGCTGTAGTTGTAACTATGCCGGCAAAACTGTGCGCCACTAGTCCTTGCTGGTCGCGTGGGTGCCACGCAGGCTTCTAGCGGATGCGGTGTTCTGCGGAGGGGTCAAATAATTATTTTAATTGATTTGAAAGTGTACAGTCTACAGAGGCGCTACAGAGCTAGAGGCGCTAGGAAAAAGTACCGAATTCTGCCCATTTTTCTGCCGGCATTATCCGCATATGCCTACTCTTTACCTTGGTGGACTATTAGTCATAACTACATGTAGTAACTTATAGAAGTACAAGTATTTAATTTATTATTATCCTTTACTCTTTACATGTGATAGAATTTGAAGAAGAGGTTGGTGCGACTTCGGCGAAAATTGGGGAATTGTGTATTGC